ACCCTCTCGACCTCTCCTGTTGGTCTTAATAACAAGATTTAGTTAGATTTGTTTTGTTTTAAATAAATAAATAAATAAATAAATAAATAAATAAATACATTTGAACAAAATGTGATATGTCTCTCTGATCATGGAGGAAGGCTGAGATGCAAATGAAATAAATAGGCTTCATTCATAGAGTGTTTCACTGTGGATTTGAAGAGTAAAAGTTAAGACTGTAGGAAAGTGCATAGATCCAAGCAGTATGTCTCTAGAGAAAGGGAATTTTTTCATGTTTTTGTATCCTCTTTTTCAACATATTGCCTGAGATTTTTTTTCTTAAGGATGCTTTTTCTTTTTGAATTCCAGGTGACAACGCATGCCGTATTAATAATGGAGGCTGCAGTACCCTGTGTTTAGCGGTACCTGGAGGCAGAATGTGCGCTTGTGCTGATAATCAGCATTTGGAGGAAAACAGTACAACCTGCACGCGTATGATCTTCATGAGAAAATTTTGTATTTCTCCTGTAGGAAAGATAGTCAAAGTAATAAATATCTAAACAGGGCAGGATTCACAAACATCAAGAAGATAAAAAGCACAACATTTTGTATTAAGCACAGTGTTCATTCTCTCAGTATTTTATATGGTTTAGAGGCAATCCTTCTGAGAAATTTAATAGAAATTCAGAGTGGCAATTGCTTAATTACATACAGATGAGAAACTCATATGCGTATCAAACAGAAATCTTTAAAAAATGTTTTAAAAAAGAATAATGGAAGGCTTGGGAAGGCTTTGCTTATAACATTGCCCCTAATCCTGCTTACCCCCAGCCTTCTTTCTCTCCTAACATGAAGGAAAAGAAGGATTGAGGTACAGCTGCAACTGGTTCACCAGCCAATGCTGTGCAAAGGACTTCCTGGACATCTCCTCTACCTGCTCATTCAGGAACAGCAATTAGTCTAGGAGAATCCTCAAGTTGTGGACCTGATGTTTCAGGGCAAATATGGAAAAACACAACAGAAGTGACAGAAAACTGTGATGGGCAAACTCTATCTTGCTCGATATATAATATGCAATGAAGATTAAATTACCCCATTGGTTCAAAAATTAGATAATTTGATCTCAAAAAGAAAAAGAAAAGTGAAAAGTAGCATTGTTTTCATTTTCTTCTCTTTATATCCTTTTCTTTCTCATCAAGAGAAAGTTGCCAGTTTGTTCTCCAGCAACTGGACTTACTTAAACAGAATAAATTGTAAAGGCACCAGGCTAGAAACTGGAAGACAGTGAGTTCTAGTCCCATCTCAAGCTCAAAGTCACTTTGGGCCAGTCTCATAGCCCAAAAATGTTGCCAGGAAAACTGCAGAGACTTGTCCAGGCAGTTGCCTGGAGTGAAAAATGACTTGAAGGGACACATTTCCTTCTATTCTATTCTATTCTATTCTATTCTATTCTATTCTATTCTATTCTATTCTATTCTATTCTATTCTATTCTATTCTATTCTATTCTATTCTATTCTATTCTATTCTATTCTATTCTTTATGTAACAACATGGCCTTATTGAGATTGTCTGTCTCTTGGCTTGTAAGTATATTGCGAATGAAAATAGATAAAAATGTCTAAATGTTAACACATTTCTTATTATTTCACGTTGATTCTTGCCAACCTCCTCTCTGTGCACTCATTGTAAGTTTCTCAGCTATTGTTAGCTGGACTTAGTGAGATCCAAAAATAGCTTTTAGATCTAATTTTTAAATGTTTCCTGAGGATTTTCTTCCTACATATTTTCAAGTACATTGTCAAGGCTTCCCCCCCCCCCCTCATTTTGGATGCAGTCTTCCCAATATCTTAAAGGTCCTATGAAATTTGCACAGCAGTTTCACCAAATAAGGAATTTCCAATTTCCATTTATATTTATGTATTTATATTTAAATATGTAAAATAAATAATAAACATATCTATAACTTTAGCCTTTTTTTGTGTTCAGCGGATCTATACAGCTAAGCACAAATGGAACTAGTTGACCCATCCAATCCTAACAAACTATTACTATTATTTTCAAAAATCCCAGTAGAAAATAATGATAAACCATTTCTATATTCTTGTCCCCAAAACTATGCTGATGTGTCTGTGTACCTACCAGAAGAGCTCAGCTTGAAAACATCTTTACTTTTATTATACGTTTTAGTTATAGGATGAATCAGTATGTATCTGAAACCATCGAATTTGTAATGTATACAAAATAACACAAAAGGTAATACATTTAAAGGAAAAAAGTATTCTCTGTAATATCTTAGTGATGTAATTACAGATTTGTTTGCTAATGTGAAACAACATTTAAAGGTCTGTTTCCCCATAAACTATTTTAAAATTAAACTAAAGTGAATATGAAAGAACAGATATATGATTTAGTCAAAATATTTATTTGTAATTTGAAGAATATGTTAGTAATGATAAAACATCTTGTTCTTCAGTGCACAGGTAATTATAATACTTATATTTCCCAGTGCTTTTCTTGATGGCTGTGCTTCTGTACCTGAATTCAAGACAGTGTTTTCAGTCTGCCAAGTTCTTGAATAGTAGATTAATTGATTGATTGATTGATTGGTTCAATTTATATGGCTGTCCATCTACCCCAAGAGACTCTGGGTGACCAACAAAACCAAACCAAGGCAAAACAAAACTTTCCATTAAAACCAAACAGAAACAAAGCAAGTTGAGGCCCAATACAATGTCCACAATCACAAATCACATACAACCCATGCCAGAGCTCCCATCACTAACATCCTGGTCACAGTTCCTAGGGAAAGGGCATATATGACAGACTTAAGTGCTTTCGAGAGCCCCAGAGCATGTTTTGAAGTAATTCTGCATAGCCCTTCAAGAAAACGACAGTGGTTTGAAAAAAGCTTATCCTGATAAGGAAATGTTACCAAAAAAAAAAAAAAAGCAAAAAAAGATAGCACTGGGAAGAGTTGAATAGGTCAGCAGTATATACCTAACAGGGAACACCAAATAGAGTTATTTTGAATCTATAATATTTACTAAGAGTGGAATATTTTAAAAATCTTCAAAAAAACAACCAAAAAAAAACAACCTTATGCTTCCATTGACAATAATGTGTTTTATTTCTATCTTTCCCATTAGTTAATTCTGAAGAAGTGTTACCCAAGTTATGCAAAGTGGGTGAATTTCAATGTAGGAACAAGCGCTGTATCCAAGGTCATTGGCTGTGTGATGGTGACAATGATTGCCTGGACGGCTCCGATGAGCATTCAGAGATTTGCCGTATGTATCCATGAATAATTTCGTCCATAGTTTCTATTTGTTTAATCTGTTGTTATGAGAATTTAAATATAAATATTCAAAAAATATAAGTATCTAAAGGGAATAAAAATAACATAAACATGAAAATAAATAATGTAATTCTTGAGCTACATAGGCATGCATTAGCTTTATGTTATATACTGGAAGGGCACTGCTTCTGAACATTAATCATGCTGATGATTTAAAAATCTAATGTGTTTGCTTTGATCTAATGCCCTCTGCCCTTGTTTTGTTGCTGGGCCAGGATGCAAACTCTGCTTGCAAATGAGGATAATTAATTTAAATACTTTGAAGACAGAATTACTGTGCAGAAGATTGCTAAATACTTCAGTGCTTCTTGGCTATATTTTTTAAAGGACTCCATAAAACAGACTAGGTTTGGAACAGGGTCATTTTTTTCCAGTTTTATAACATTGTAAGCAAGTCTAAGGAAATCACAACATAAGCAATAGTGTACTGTTTTTCAGATGTTTCAGAAATGACAATTATTTATGTAACAGTGGGTAGAATTTTTGTTTCTAGGAAGTCTTAAACTTTTCCCAACCTGTTTTGATTTATAATGATAAGAAACAGTGCAGTTCCATGCAGTCCCATAGTGCAGTTCCATGCTCTTGTATATAAGACCTATAATGCCAATCTTTTCCAGCAGAACAATACAATAAAATATCTCCCAGATCACTGCTTAAAATATACACAACTCCTCTAAGTATGGGATTGTGCCAAGGAGAAACTATATCTGTACTTCTCAGAATGTGCATGCTTACATGTGAGCATTTGTGCTGTCTAAGTTTTGCAAATCAAACAGGTAAAGTGATGGTGTGTTCTTCTCCTACCTCTTAGCTCTCTTAAGGCTCTTCCTGTTTTGTCTCAAGAGTCTGCTTCTCCTTTAGGGCAAGAGTGGTCTCTAATTTCTCCCATGCACCATGAAAGAAAAATCCATTCTGTTCCAATTAACACTTTGAGAACCCCATTTTTTTCTACCCCATGGAAGAAAACCTGCACTTTACAACTCAAGTATTCAACTCCTTTCTCAACCCTTTCAACCTTGCATTTGAATCTTATTTGTGATACCTAATGTTTTGTCACAATACATTTTGGGCAGTATGGTTGTAGATTTGAAGGCAGTGAACACCAAGTGATTTACTGAGCAAAGCAAAAGAATTACAATTTTTACTATAGGCAGAAAAACATTCACAGGCAATGCAACAAAACAAGAAATGACAATAATAGAGGAATAAGGATACAGAATAGAATAGAATAGAATCTTGTGTTCTTTCAGCCCTCTTATCATCAATAGCAACCGCAATAGTTCCTCAGATTACCCCAGCTAGTGTGCAGCACCCTTTTTGGGAATCAGGTCTAAACTGAAGGCCTTCCTGAGGCAGGTTCTCAATGCTTATATAGCATTTACCCATAATTAAGCACATTTATTGTTTATGCTTCTTGCCAATCTGTTCTCAACATTTACATGAGACAGTACTAACTCATATATCAAACCCTCCCTGCACAGGTGGCTGGACTTAGAAAGTGATAACACTTTTGAGCTAGGCTATATCAGAAAACAGTAACTAAGAGAAACATATGTGAGAGGTAAAGAAGGAAATGGGAAAGCTCAGAAGTTTGTTATAGAAACCTAAAGTCTGACCAAGCTATGCTATGTAAAGGAATATACTGTTGAAGAGAAGCTATTTTATACAGGAAAGCACAGAGGGAAATAGGATCTACCATCTATTGCTCTATATTTATTAATCCAATTTATATGGCTGCCCATCTATGAAACAAACTCCGGGTGGCAAACAAGATAAAAATAAAGGATTCAATTAAACCAAAAACATTCATCCACCCTTGCATATAAGCAGTTTAGTTCACACATGGCCTCTTGTGATTCAGAGGTTATAGAAGGATATAGTTCGATCATCAGCATACTGGTAATACCTCACTCTATATTTAATAGCATTAGAGAGAAGATTGTACTTTGGGATACTCTAGAGCAAGATTCTAGGGGCTGACCTACAATAGCTTAATATTTTCCACTGGAACCTTTCCACAGATAGAAGCTGAATTACTGAATTACTGGTATTCTAGGAGAATATTATGGTCAGTAGGATCAAAAGCCACTTTTGATCATTGAATGATTGATTAGCTAATAAAAACTACTTGCAGAAAATTATATAACTTTCTCCATGCATGTAATGAAGCCTTTTGAATTATTCTGAATTATTCAAAAGAAAGTGAATAGGTGTCTTCATTATTGATACAGAATATTACCTAATCACTTAATAATCCTATTTATTTCAAGAAGATTTTAAACACATGCTATACAAAATAGTCCCTCCCCCGACATACTGTAAATGCCTTAAGAAAATTATACATTACAATTGTGGTGCTGATCTTCAAAGCTCTAGTTTTTGATATCTAGCCAAAAATTATTAGTATGAAAAGTAAGTGTCTCCTCCAAATGTGTAGAAGCTCAGTATTAGCAAAATTTGCTTGTAATAATAATAACAAATAAAGTTTATTAGTGTGCATGTATTAATAATCAGCTTAGTCCTGACACCAAGGTTTTTTTTACACTCTGAAGCACTATGACTACGTAATCATCTTTTTCATATGTTCCAACATTTCACACATGGAAATAAAGGCTGTCTTCCATATAAAATCCTTATTCATATATATAACATTACTATCTTAGTATTTCTCTCATGCACTACTGAAATTTCTCCTCTGTCTGCTGTCCATTCTTTACTCTGACACAACTTGTCTTGGATTCTAAAGTGTTGTATAACAGGTCCATTGTTATTGTTATCTTTCTAATTTTGGAAAAGTATGAATGAATAAAAGTGAACATCAATTTGCTCACCCTTCCAATCCACCAATCTTTTCTCACAAAATAAGAGAGAAACAGATTTATGCAAGATATGGGAAGTTCTCCCCTTTGTCACTAACTTTCATTACTATATCTAAAATGTTGCACTGTATTTAATTCTATGTCTATAGACTGATAATAAAATATGTACCAAAGGAATGGAAGAATGGATTCCCCTGTTGATCTTACTTTCACACAGATCTTTCTACTTGCTTCATTTAAAATATATGTAGGTGGAGAGAGAACAAGAAAGTCCTAAGTCTTTTGATATAACTCTGAACGTAGCCCACTATCCCCAATTTAAGGGAAGGGCAATTTACATTATTATTGTTGGTCGCATAGTCAGCCAGATATTTAGATTGGATTTGGCATTTTTATCCACCTATCGAGTCCTTCCCAAGGACCTGGGATGGGCAGATGTTGTTACTTGATGGTGTTAAAGGTATTGTCACAGGATGTAAGCTGTTCCAAGTAAAGCTGCCTT